TTGCATAATTTGCAATATTATTTTTCAATCCAGTAGTTTTAAATTCATTAATAATTCTAGATATACTTAACCTTACTTTTTATACCCAACCNGATATACTTAACCTTACTTTTTATACCCAACCCTAAATCTTATACCATTGAAAAGCCCACAAAATTTGCTATTAGAAAAACCTAATTTCGCGGGGTACAAGTGATGGGAACGTACCTCCCCATGAAGTTTTATACAAGAATATATTCATATATCGTAAATCGTCGTATATGTTCACAAAAAATTAATTTTTTAAGTCACTTGCCAACTTTGTTGGTCACTAAATCATATACCATTGAAAAAATGAAATATTTCAAAAATTCATTTTGTTTATAGTCGTTGAAGTCTGACCATACAAAATAATGCATATAGTAATTTAGTGATTTCTAACAATTACTTTTAATTCAAAATTATTAAATAGAAAACCCCTTGATAATAGCGGTTTCTGCAACCTAATGTTCATAACTAACCAATATGGTTACTAAATTTTTATCAATGGTTACTTATCAGTTAATTTCGGGTGCTAAATTCACGGACATCACGGAACTGCCATATGTTGATAACAGATATCATTGTTCTATGTGACTTGAATCATAAAAGGAATATGTCAAGAAGTTAACTAGTATCGGATAACCAGATCATTGTTTTATGTTGTTGTATATTTAATTATTTTAACTATTACAGTTATTTATTGTTGTCTCTAATGTTTAAAAAATGTCATTATTTTTTATTTAAACAAAGTTCATGGAACCACTGGAATCATTAAATTTGAGAACAGATGAATGTTCTTTTTTAGAATCAGTTATAAGTGATGTAAGACGTTATGTCGATAATTATATTCCGGAAAAGAAGTAAATTTAATTTTATGAATGTATTTTGTTATTAAATATATTAACGTTTTTTTTTTAGAGAAATAGTTCTTGTATTTCCACCCTTAAATCCACGTAAACGTTTTTTGGTACATTCATTGATTCAAAACTACTTTAAAGACTTGAAAACATTATCTATTGGTAATAGTTTTGGAAGACGCAACGTTGTTTACCATTCAAGTTTAAGTTCTATGTAAGTTCAACTATATATATTTAATTATCAAAAATTAAATCCAAAATCATTGAGCCCGGAAGTAATAAAAATAGTACCATATTATTTTCAAGTATTTTTTTTTTTAACTATTTTAGTAGAGTTATACCTAAAATTTAGTGATTCCATCTTTAAGCTAAAAAGAGATAGAAAGTTGTTTCTGCTAATGTGTTATTTGTATGGTATTTTACTGGATTGGTGACTATAACATATTTTTAAAAGGTGCTTTATTAAATAAGTTATGAGGTAGATTAATTTTAAGACTCTGAGAACCAAAATATTAAATCAAAATTATTTTAAATTGTTAAAAGAAGTCTAATCACTTTCCAAATTGCAGTCTTAAATAGAAATTTGTTACACCCCTAAAATGCATACTATGAACTTTTTTAAATTATTAATTATAAATAGAAATTAAAAGTTTCCTTTTCAAACATTTTATTTAATAGCTCAATATTTTTAAATGTTATAAAATAAGTGTTTTATTTAGTGTTAAGATATATTTGGTATATATTTATAATATGGTGTTTATATCTTGTCTATTGGTATAAATAGTCCAAAAAATTTAATTCGTGACATTAGTCTTGCCAAAGGAAATTTCTTATTAATAACTAATAATTTCATTGATTATCTTACAATTATAAAAATTATAAAAAAAAAAAAAACATAATTTTTCTCGATTAATGCTATTTGTTTGAAAAAAGTAATCCATCTGTAAACTATATATGTGAATCTTTATAAAAATTTAGCATTTTAAATTTATTGATATGGATTTTTCAAAGTATTCAGCCTTTGCTTACATTACTGAATAAATTCAAAAATCAAAAACCTAAACTTTTGATTGGTATTATATAAATTAAATACATTGTTGAAAATTATAAGTAGTAAAAGTTAATGTTTGGTTTTTGGGCATAAGGATGTTAAAATTGATGTCGGAAGTCATAGAGCACTTTATAGCACTCCTAATAATTGCACTACTAGCTTTGATATTAATTTAAAGTTTTGTTTGAAAGTTATAAATTATTCAATGTTGTCATTTTCAAAATTATTGACATTATTGAATATATATAACTTTTGATAAATAAATATTCTCAAACCTTCATTTTTAAATGGCAGTAAATTAATTTTTTTATTTTTATGCATTTAATAGGATAAATAACGAAAAAATGGAATCATTAGAAGAATATTCTGATAATTGTAGTACAAATACAATGGAAAAACTCTATAAGACACCTCGAGAAAGAAAAGCTCAAGATAAATTGTTTAAATCACTTAAGCCTGATAATATAAAAAGTAGTACCAGGTATAATTTTAAAATAAATTTGTAAAAACTTATACAAATAAGTATATTAATTTCAATTTTTTTTAATTTTCTGAAAAAATGTATAAAATTAATTAATTTTATTATTTATATAATAGTATGTATATTAATATAGAAAACAATTGGCCCATTTTTTTAAAACTAAGCGGATTGTAAATTTGAAATAAACATGATATTTTTAGTTTAATATATAAAAGCTTGGATGTGTAGTTGAAAAGCTAGTATAGTGTAATTTTTAATTTTTGTAAAGTAAAATTGAAAAATAAAAAGACAATATTAAAAATATGAAGATATTAAGAAATTTTATGAAGTAAAATAAAAAAAAAAAAGGAGTTATGTATATAAATAAATTATAATTTAGTTATTTTAAGTGATTGAAAAATAAACTTTATAATTTTAAACACTTGTTAAATTCTACCATTTATTTGATTATACTAATTTTTATTTATTAAGTAATTTTTGATTATATCAATATATTTATTTTTATTTTTAGATCCTCCCAACGTAAAATTAATAAGCGACCAGATATACCAATTTATGTACCTAAACAACGTAGAGAATCATCAAATAACTCTTTCAATAATATTGAATCTGAGTCATCGGCTTGTATGTTTCAAAATGTTATCAAGGTTTATCAAAAAGAAATTTGTACTTCTAAAATGCAATTAAGTAGAAATTATGAATTTAGTTCTTCACCTAGTTGTCAAGAAAATTCAAGCAATTTAGATCTAGTCTCTAAATCTCTTCAAAGTTCCTGTAAATTGTTAGGCCAAATACCTGAATCATTTAAAGCATGTACTTGTTGTAGTACTAATATAGATTCAAATCAAAGTTTGCCATTGAGTCCAGATGGGGAATTAATATCAACTAAAGAGTTTTGTAATGAAAAAGATTGTACACAAATTGTAAATGAATGTAATTTGGATAACTTAGTAGAAAACAATGCTAATAATGTTAAAGTATCTAAATTAGATGAGAAAACTAATAATGAAATTGATGATAGTTGTTCAATTGTTTCACAGAATATTTTAGAATCAATCAATCTTAAAGATAATAATTTGGCTTTAAATAATTTCCAAGAAGAAAATGAATATTCCAACTTAAGTTCTAAACTAATAGTTGATGAAATATCAAATAATTTAGAATCTAAATCTATTGAAATAAAAGACAATGTAAGAAAATTTGATTTAGAATCTAATTGTGATAATACAACTATATTAACCATGGAACATGAATCTCTTTGTCCTAGTTTTTCATTAGATGATAGTTTTAACAGTGAATTAATGTTAGATATCAATGATGACACATTGAATTCTCCAAAAAAATATTCCTCGAAAATTGCGGATGATCAAATTTTAGAAAAAGTGAATAAGGATTCTATTATTGAAGAAAATTGCTTAGAAGCAAAAACTGATGAAAAAAAGATTAAGAAGAAAAAAAAGAAAAAAGTTCTGGATGTTGAAGAATGTAGTTGGGAAGATTTATTTGATAAAGAAGATGAGTACATTCATCCTTTGCTAATGAAAGAGGCAAGATTATTATTTTTATATATACTTTTAAGACTATGTAGGAACTAAATAATTCTATATTGGACATCAGAAAAGTTTAGATTAAAAAACACAAGTTGTATCTTCTTGTAAATTTAGATATGTTTTAATTATGTTGAAATCTTTATGCACAACTAATATTTTGTCTATCTAAAAAAATTTTAATATTTAATTAATGGTTGTTCCAAAGATGAGTTAACATGCTTTTTTACATTTTTTTAGTTAGTAACAACAATGGGTAATGTTCAAGTAAAACGGGCTGAAGAAGATTATCGTAGTTATCAAACAGTGGAAGAACGAACTGGTGATGGAGAATGTGTTATTGAAGTTTATGGTTTTTCATCTCAACTCAAAACTGTTGATCTAATGAATCAGTTTTCAGCATTTCGTAAAAAACATTTTGATATTGTTTGGGTTGATGATACGCATGCATTAGCTGTATTTGAAAGTCCTAATTTTGGTAAGTTTAAAAAAAAAACCATTAATTTTTTATTTTTTAAATATTTTTTATTTCTACAATTTTTAGCTGATCAAGCTTTAAATACACCTTTTGCTTTGGTAAAAACTAGGCCACTTAAAGATGCTATTAAAGAATCAAAACTCAAAGCTCAAACTATTGCTCCTCTTCCAGCTACTAGACCTAAAACTTGTTCTGCAATGGCTAGGCGGTTGGTTAGTAGTGCATTAGGGTTAAAACTTAATGTTTCTCCTGAAATGTTAAATGCTGAACGAACTATGTTGGCCAACGCTAAAGGTAATTAATATATTGATTAATTTTGCAGTTTATTATAATGAAGAATTATATTTTTTCTTTTTAGAAAAAAAAATTCGTGATGCTCAACAAAAAAACAAGATATGGAATGAAAATTTGTGATAACTTTTATTTTAATTTTAACCTTACATGATATAATTAAAATACTTCTAAGAACTTATTTAAACTATTAGTGTTAATAGTTTAACGTTAATACAAAAACCTTATTACATATAATATTTTAATTTAGCTTTTAAATTATTAGATTCACCAAATGTTTAAATTATTGACTGATTGTAATTTTATTGTTTTGTTTGACAGAGTTTTTTAATTATTATTAAATTTTTATACTATATATTAAGGAAAGTTGGTCATGAAGCATTGAAAGTTAATTTTTTTTAATTGTAAGTTACATAAAATTTGTAGTATTAAAGTATATTTAATAGATTTAATATTAATATTTTTTTCAATTTTAAAATAATTGTAAAATGTGAAACTACAGCTATAAATTTATATTAGTATAAAAATATATATTTATAATATAACATCAAATAATTTTTATTTTTAAAATATGATTCTATCGGCTAATTTTTGAATGTGACAGAGAAATCCACACTTATTCTAAATGGGAGGGTATGGATTATTTATTTGTGAAGACTTCAGCTCCCATAGAATCATTTGTTGCACTCACAAATAAATTAAATTTATTGATGAGAGGGAGGGATAAAAATAATATGATAAAAAAGCTTCCCATCAGGTTTATTGTCCAATATACTTAAAAGTAGCTCTATAGACAATTTTTCAAGCCACGCTTATGTCCATTATATATATTAAAATGCTATTAATTTTATAAGTTCTTGTCCTAATATTATCATCAATCCATTAAAATTTTTGAAAGAAAATGTATTTTTTAAATTATGTAAAAATAAACGTTGTTTAAGATAACAATATTAATAAAAAAAAAATTCAATAAAATTATTTTTGATTTTTCCATACCTTTATCACTCACCTTTATAAATGTATAAAATTAAGAATTAAAAAAAGTTAAAAAACAAGAAACATTTAATAGATAAATAACGATTATGTACTCTAAATAAATGAATTATAATTTTTATTTGCATAAACAATTTTGGAAAATATTTTATAATCTATACTTGTGTAGTCTACTTTCAAATGTGAAGTGAAGTTCTAATATTTCATTTTTATTAGCCACTTTTATAGTAAACAACATTGTATTACTGGCTTAAAGCATAATTGAACATGTAAAATGTATAATTTTAATAAGACAGTTGCTAAGTAACTTACACATTATTCGTAACTATATACGGCAAATATTAAAAAAAAAAAATTGTCTGCCATTATTTTTCATCTAGTAGTTTCTCATAAAACAGTTGTATCAACGTTTCCTTTTGTGTTTAGCTAATATCAAGCCATTCAACATGGTAATCATAGAACCACAAGATACGAAGTTGTCCGAGCAAATTTTCGAAGGTCAGTATAAGTTGATCAGTTTTCCATTTGAGACCGAAGAAGTAAATGTATTAACAAATTACTTAAATTATGGTCTTATTTTTTTCTCATATAATTATTTTTCTAAATAATGAAGTGAATTATACATTGCTAATGGGTAAGAATAGTGACAATTCGGAAAATAAAATTATAAAAGTCGTTAAATAAAAAGAAATTTTTTAATTATGAATTAATTTTGTTCAAGGTTCTCAGCGGAAACTATTATATTTGAGTTTAAAAATTGTTCATGAAAAATACAATTTTCCATTTTTATGTTATCGCAATATTACAATTTTAATAATCAGAAATCTAAAAATATTTGAGTGTTATCACAACCAAAATTCGTAATATTAAGTCGACAATTAATACTTTACGTACAATATATTAAAACAGCTTCAATTTGTTTTGTTAATTTATAAATAATTTTGGAAGAATGAACTATCCTAATGATAATTGTTTAAATGATTAAACTTTTTTTTTAATTTTAAATGTAAAATAAAACTGTTTCATTTTAAATGCACTATGGACATGCCATCGATTTAAGTAAAATCAGAAGATAAACGATTCAACATATAAATAATTAATTAAAATTGTGGATATCTATAGAGGTAAATGTGCTTGCCGTTAGAATGAAAAAGCTACTTGGTCGTTATCGTTTGGGTTTGCGCTAATTTGACGAATACAATTATTATTGTTTAAAACACTGTTGGTTGTTTACGATAACTTACAAAATCTGATAAAAAACCTTATCATTATAAAACTCAAACTGTAATTTCAAGTTTAAAATGTATAACAACGACATGACCATTAGGGTGGAACGAAATATTAAAATTGTTGATAATTGAATTCTAATAGAAAAAAAGTTGATTTAGTTTCCTGATTATGGGAAAAAAAAAATTTTTTTTTAATATCTTCAGGTGTCGCAAGAGGGTTGAAAATTTAACTGTGCGGGTAGTTTTTTCATTTTTATCACTTATCTTTTAATCTATATTATTCACAGGAAAAATTACAGAATTAAACTTGTAGAACTAAATATTTGCCATAAAAAATGTTATTAGCAAAAAAGCCGTATCTATATTACTTAGTCATTAAAATTAAAAAAAAACATCATATTTTTATCTTTACCATTGAAATAGTTTTTATTAGTTTATTTAAATACTGCAGACGAAATATTCAACATACAGAAAAAATGTTTGTATAAAAATTGTTTAGAATTTAATTGTTTATTCTTTGTGTTGTGTGTATCATTTCTTTTACCAAACGCAGTTGTTATAATCAAGTAATAGGCTGGATTGAAAAACTGAATTTTGATTTTTAACTTTCTAATAGTTGGGGAATATGTATTTTATAAAATCATACTAGTATAATTTTAAAATAAGAAGTGCCGTAAGGCATTTGAAATATAGTTATATTATTTTCTTATGATTACTGGGTTATTCTCATTATGCCCTATATTATCTTAATAAGTTTATGATACGATAATATTCCATTGTTTTTTATGGTAAATATTTAGTTACATAATTTTTGCCTGTGAATAGTATAGATTAAAATATAAGTGACAAAAACAAAAAAAATACCCTCACAGTAAAATTTTCAACCCTCTTGCGGCACCTGAAGATATTAAAATTTTTTTTCCCCATGATCAGGAGACTAACTGCAACTTTTTCTTTCTATTAGAAATCAACATTTTTAATATTTCGTTCCACCCTAATGACCATAAATGGCCATGTTCCGATATCATAATTAATATATTTATTTTATTTTTTCAAAAGCATTACTTTATTTCAAAATGATTAATATTCAAACTCTTTTTTTTTTTTTATTAAGAAATAATTTATTTTAAAGTCGTATAATTTTTATAATTTACTATTATTTTAGGAAGTACTGAAATCCCTGACACATCTGTGCGTGGGAATCAAAAGATATTTCAGCCTTAGTTGTACACGTTAAATATTTAAGTGCTCTATTAAGGAAACTTGAAATTAGTCTTGTTACGTGAATCATACATTACTTCACAGACGCTTTAGTATTATAGAATATTCATACTATCATGTTAGCAGAAGTATAAAACTACCTGTGCTCGCTTTATTCACTTCAATTTATATTTTCTAATTTGTCATTCTTAAAATTTTAAGAAAAGCGATTCACGTAAAAATGTGGACTCGATGCTATTGTTATTTTTCGGTTTAAGGTAAAATGATGATTATTTAAATCAAAATTATTTTAATATTCCGAGCAGAGGTTAAACATTTTTATTTTCTTTTTGGCTGCTTGTCTTTTAACTTTTATTTATTCAAAAAACTTATTCAAGACTAAATGTATGTTTTTTGATAGAACTTCATTAAAAGAAAATAATTTTATAATAATCTGTTGACCGTAGTTGAGATAAAGGCAAGGTAAAAGAAGTAGAATCTGTCGATATTCTTTACAAGACATCAATAAAAATAATAAAATTATATTTGTCACTGTGATCTATGATTTTTTTAAAAATACTTTAGTAGTGTTGGGAATATATAATCAAATCTAAATTAGATATAGATATTCGAATAAAATGTCATTTAGAACAGATAAATATATTTAGATAAGAATTATTAAAAAATTAATATTTTATTATATAAAATTTAGATAAATCCTGTTTTTTATTTATTCATAATTTTCATAAATTAGGGGAACTTTCAACATTTAAACGAGCACTATTAATTATTATTTTAATATTTAATGGGAAATAGATTAAATTAAATTTTAACTGATCAATAACTAGTTTTATAACATATTAAGCTCATATTATTTTTAGTTATAGGCGAGAGATTTTTATAGTAAAAATAGAGTGCCGCTTAACCAACCTTGCATTTCATCTTTTCATCTTTAAAAGCTAATAATCCAAAAATTAATGTCATTTTATACATTTCTATGAAAAAATGGGGGTTGTATTTTTAACAGATCGTATTAATATATCAACCAAAAATCAAAATTGAAGTATATCTACAGTTTTATCCTTCAAGAGTTTAATGATTTTTACTACAATATATTGTTATCATATACTGTAAGTTGTTAGTACTGCCTAATATTAGTTTTTTTTTTAAAATATTTAAAAAGCTATAAGTATAACTAACATACTGGATAATGTAACGAAATATCTAAAATAGTAAAATAATGGTGTAATAGTTAAGTTAATAAAAAAGTTAGATCAAGAATCAGATGATTTAAAGCTTCGATAATGTAAATATAAATAATTATGTTTGTAGTATTTTTCACGAATAACAACTAAAAAAATATGATAAGATGAAAACAATAACTAAAATGATTAAAACAACAACAAAAATGATAAAAACAAATAGAAAACAAGTTGTCAGTTAGTTCCTACTTCAGATCAATAATTGTCGCCCCATGTATGAACTATACAACATATTATTAATGTACATAAAATATATATTTGAAAGTATTCTTAATAACTCAAACGATATTTTATTATATATTAAGATATTTTACATATAATTCATTTTATTATAAAACCTATGTTACTAAAAAATTGGCATATGGCCTTTCAACTTTTTTCTTTAAATACTTATTCGGTCGAGGAGTGATTCCATAAAGATATCTTGACATTGAGTACTTGGATTGTTAGTGATGGTATTTTTATAGTAAGAATATATATAATAAATTTGTGCATTTATTGAAATAAGATATTAGAGGATCAAAAATATCTGAGTTAAGGCGCATCTATCCTCGTTCAAATAATAATGTTTTTTCGCATCTCATTACATTGATGGGCAAGTATTTTTCTAAATAAACTTTTTATTATGATTTTTGGCTTATTGAAATAAGTTTTTTGTCCTAGAGTTTTTGAAAGTTCTGACTTAAATTTTTTTATTATTTTTTTGATTACATCGTTTTGAGAGATTATGTTGATGAGTGTTTAGAAAAGTAATGGATGCGCAAACTTCCTTGCCCGTTGATTTGTGAATCGGGTAGTAACCACATAATTTTTATCATAAGTTTTGAGTGAATGTCTTGAATGTTTTGTATCATTTCTTTAGTAGGTCAGA